CCGCGGACGTTGGGTTAGGAAACCTGGATTCGAGCTCTGAGAAGCCGCATTGTTTATAGGCGCAAGACACTATACTGTAACAGTTCATTTTACATCTAGGGAAAATGAATCGGCACCACAAAATTGTTGGGAAAAAGTAATCAATAAACAAGGAGGGAGGGGAGGAAGGTGACGTAAGACGGACCAGCATCCTTTTCGAAGGAAGAGGCGTTTCTCTTTATCGTTCCAAAGCTAAAGATGGAAGCCGGACGAATATCCGGCAGTAGTATTTTACTTACTTAAGTTGATAATCAGTCCAATCAAAATTATCCATCAGAGGTATTCTACTTAACTAAGAGATATATGTCACATTTAGGGGCAAAGAAGAAATCATTGGACGAGAAATCAGAGATTTTATGGAAAACAACAAGGCTTTGGAAAAAGAACTGATCGAGGAGACTGGCGTGTCGCAGATAGAGATTACTAAATACCTGCAAGAAAGTGTCCATTTGAAAGAAGACAAACGAACAAAATTGTTCAGGTGGTATCTTGAGAAGAAGCTTAGCAGAGTGGAATCGGGTAAGTTCAGTAAAGAATGGCCTAGACCAACATTTTCGGGACAGAAGGGAGCTTTATGGACAAAATCGTAGACTTAGCCATGGAAAATTTTGGCCCACATTGATAAAAGGCGATGAAGATGAACGGAACGGACGAAAATGAGCAGGGGATTCAACTGAGTTTGAACACTTTGATTTCAGATTCAAAACAATCATCAACATCTTGGTTAAGTTATTTCTTGAAAACTTTCACGAGTAGATAGCATTTAAACTGATGATTCTCTTCTCTTGATTTTAAGACGACGAGAGTTACACGTGCTACAAATGCGGCAAGATCTTTGCATACGAGAGTTACCTAGAGCGTCATGTTAAGTACGTTTGTCCTGACAAGACTGGTCGCACATGGAAGTGTTCTTACTGCAGTAAAGCATTTCAATACCCTTGTTACTTGAGGAGGCACATGAGATCACACACAGGTAAATGATATGTACTTATTGACTTAGTGGAAGGGCTGGAAGGGAAATATTTGGCTCGAGGATCAACGTAAGGACCGAGCATAGCGAGATCCGTGCGTTATGATCATGAGCCATACAATTTCCCTTTCAGCCCGAATTAGCGCAGTCAAGAAACTTTCTATCACATGACTATCCCTCTTTCTTTAACTTCTTTTCCTCATCAGCTCGCATCTCGAGGGGTCTTGCGGCTTTTTCCATCTCGTGCGGCCCTCAAACGGGGATTTTTATCTTAAAGTTTTCAATAAAAGCACGCGGGGTGATACAGGTCATAAGGTGAATCAAGTTGTGATACTTAAATACATTTGGTCGCGATAAAATATCGTTTGACGGTTGCCTTTGTATTTCAGGCGAGAGTCCTTACAAATGCACGCAGTGTTCTCGAGCATTTGTTCGTTCTACAGACCTTCAAAGACATTTGAGAAATCACACCGGTGAAAAGCCGTACAAATGTCAAGAGTGCTCGAGGGCATTTGCACGCTCCACGGACCTAAAGCGACACATGCGAACTCACACAGGAGAGAAACCCTACAAATGCTGGCAATGTTCCAAAGCGTTCTCTCAGTCTGGGAGTTTGCAAACCCATTTACATACGCATTATAAGGAGTCTTTGCAAATGAAGGGAGTTATACCGGAAAAAACGAAAAGAACTTAAAAGTGGCGCAGAAGCGTCGCAATTTTGTCGCGAGGAGCGGATAATGGAGGGTTAGCAAGCAGAAGAGCATTTGCTGTTTAATCAGTTGCATAAGACCAAAATATCAGACCTTTCAGGCAACAAGCGCGATATTGCCCAGTATGTGCGCTTCGTCAATTGAAGGATCCATGTTCGAGCTATCGGTATATTTTTCTCTGCATCAGAAAGATCAATCTTTTTGACTTTGTTTTGAGTCACATTTTGCTGATGAATCCATGCATGCTGAAACAGTTCTGGTAGACAACTCTAAGAATCTTCAAGCTTGATAAAGATTCACTTTTGCTTTAAACGCTGAACGAGCTTTACCCAAAGAAACTGCAGACTTTAAGACGCATGGGAGATTCAAACCTTCTAGGTGGATTAATGCTCATCAAAAACAGTGCATTTGTGTTTTACTCAAATGGTTTAATACTTGATAACTTGATTTCTGCAAGAAAATGAGTGCCATTACGCAGTATTATATCGAAGGCTGGACTTAACTGGCAAGGAAGAAGTTAAAGTGAAATTGGAGAAAGCATTGACGCTTTTACCGAAGAGGAAATTGCTCTCCGATAGTTTCTGTTTCTATCTGCTTTTTTTACGTTGCTTTTTTACATCGCTCGAGATGGACGCTGATAACACAAAAACAAAAGGCTTAAAGAAAAAAAAATGAAAGCGCATGTATATTTTTGGAATTTTTGCAAGGGTAAAATATTTAGTTTTGTGTATACTTTTGCTCGGGAAACTATTTTTATTTGCTTTGCTTAACTTTTGAAGAAAGTGAAGGATCTACTTGTATAGCTCTCAAAAAGGTTTCTACCAAAATTTAAGGTGTTGATCCGATCTCTGTCAAACGGAGTCTGCAATGTAAACGAAAAATCAACAGTAGCTTCGCATAAACATCCACCATCGCATTGGGTAAAGAATGTCGACAACATTTCAAAAAAATGTAGATTTCAGAGAGTAAAACCACAGTCTTCAAGACTGTTGTACAAGAAGGTAAGGCTTGTTTTGGAACTGAAAAACCAAAAGATCTCTTTACATTGTCGACTTCAGAATTCCGCCATGATATCACTAAACTCGTTGCATTGGCAAATTTTTCAGTAGCCACTCTAAATCAACTACTTTGTCAGTCGAATTCTGGAAGAAACGTGATTTGGTGTAAAGGTTGCTAAATTTTACTAGAGACCTTCTATAGATGTTGACATCCAAAAAACTCGCCAGTATTCTGCGGGATCTCCTCTCATTTTGCACAGTTAAAATTAAGGAAGTTGGGGATTATTGTAATAACCGAGCAACTGCACATCTACCCCTCCCTTAACTCAGCAACAGTGAACTGAGAACAAGGAAGGGTTGATGTTGAATTAGAAGGGGGGAGGGGAGGGGGTAGGTGCACCTTTGCTCAATACTGAAATTGATCCCAAGTTGGTTCGTAGTAATCTCGTCCCCAGATCCTACCGTTTAATTGTAACTAAAATGGACGTGGAAGGTCTGGGTATGAGACTAGGCTCGTGGCAATGACGAAACTTCAGTTCTACGTTTTTCCCATTTTCTGTTCAGCTATGTTTGTTTCTCTTCACAAATAAGGTTATGCACGAAATTCTTTCAATGCAGCAGAGTCCCAAAGAATTTTGTCGAATGTTGTAGATAGCTTCATCATGAATTGATTTATTTTGTAACTTTCCTGTACATATGTTGCGAAATAGAAATCACTTTCTGGTATCATAAGCTCATTAATTGAGTTATATTTTTGCTATTCAGCTTTTATCAATAGCTGGTGTATATAGAGCATTATAGCTTATTTAAGCTTCAATTTTTTTTTGTTCTGTGATTGGTCGATTGTAATTCTAGTTTTCAATTTATAGTACATGATAATCATGCCTACTTACTTTCATCGGGAAAAATAAGACAACATTTGTTAGTTCTATCGATACGTTAAGTTTGTTACTGCCTTCTTTGACAAAGCCAATTCATTTTTGCGATCAGTTTGATTTCTGACGTATCAAAATAAAGCTGGCTACTTACCAAATACTTTTTTTTCAATGAAAATTGAGTCTAAACATATATTTTTTCGAAATTATATATCGCTGGAGTAGTTTAATTCTCTTTTCCATTAAAAGAAAAGAATATTTTACCCGTGTGTCTGTCAACTCTTGTTCTGTATAAAATTGTTATCATAGCTTACAAGATAATAATTTCAATATTCTGCGTAACCTAGTTTCCAGGGTCTCTGTTCTTTCCTACTGCGGGACCGCGTGGGCATGTAGAAGAGAAACATTGAAACGAGGTTGCATCCCGGAGGTACAATGTGTGTTCATTTAAGAAAAGATACTTTAACACGAGCTGGTCTCAAAGTCATTCAATAAAAGCAAGATCTTAAGAACGACTGCAGTGACTTGTGACTGTAGTAACCTAAAAATTCCTCGCCTTTTTTAAATTCCGCTTTTAAAGTAGAAGAGGGTTACCTTGGGTTTGAAAATGACTCAACTTTCGTATTTTATTGAAGGTCTCAAAACTTAATCTGCATCGCGGAGTGACTTAGATTCTAATGTCTTACTCGGTTTTGGTCAGAATATCCTCCTTCCTCAAGCAAGCGTTAGTACAAAAATTAAAATTTTTAAGGGATAATGACTTGAAGACTTGAAGATCCCTAATGGACCTCCCTTTCCCGTGGAAAACAGACAAACTGAATCACAAGTGGAAATTAAATGCATTTAGATAGTATCTTGACCGAGGGTAACTCAGATCAAAGAGACTAAGATGAAAGGTAAATTATGTATGAGTATCTTGGAGGAAAGGCCTCTTGCGTTGCGCTTTTAAATGATCCAGTTTTGCGTTATCAACTGGTCACTTTTGAGGGCCTGGGTGTGGAGGACTTTGGTTGAGTCAAAATAAAATTTATCTGATTCCCTACCCCACCCCCACGGCTCTGTCAGTATTCTAATGATTCCGTCTCATTAGCGACCAATTTGCTACAGTCCTCCACCTTCATACTCTGTTAGAGACGACTGATCCTCCTCCGTGCCTTTGAAAACCACCTGATCGTACCAAACATCCTCAGCTCCCCACCCTCCCCTCCCTGCCAAGCGATAACTGGTACTTTAAGACTCAACGTCTGCTTCTCAAAGAAAACCGAACAAATTAATTTCACACAACAAAGCTGCACGCGCGCGCACGAGTTTCCCTTTATTGACTCGCATTGCCATAGCAACTTTCATGTCTAGTAAGATTGTGCCAAATTTGTATATCATTCTTGACACCACCTGAGAGGAAATAATTTCGACTTAAGAGGCGGTCAACAAGTGGAAAGCAAACCCCCTTAAAACATCGCCGTTGGTAATTATTGGAAATGTAAGGATGAAGAACAAGTTCGCAAAAGTAACGTTACGTTACCTTCTCCTAGAACGCTTTTTCGTGTACGCTGAAATATCAGTAGCAGGCCTTTTGATAAATACGGGTACCGTTTGGAATATTTAGCCTTTGTCTCCTATTTTTCATCATAATTTATTTTGAAGGCTCATATTCGGTCAGTCAAAAAGTCAACTCCATGGTTATTCCACTCTGAAAAGGATATTTAAAAGGTGAATGGGAAATAAGAGATATACAACTCGTATTCCCTGATTGCGAAACTGTATATTTGAGCCAAGACTGAATCTAACTAAGGTAAGCACTCGATATTTCTCCCAATGAGAATTAAAACATACTGGCCCGCGAGTCTGATCGGTGAGTACTTTTAAAATGCACCTAATCTCCTGCAGGTAAACTGCCGCGTACCCAGACTTCGTTTTTTTTTCAAAGCTGCGATTTACCTGGTTCAGAACTGGTGGCTTTAGTCATTGTAATCCCTTCCCTGTAAACAGCATTTAAAAACGTGACCTTGCTACCTGCTTCTCTATAGATATTTATGTGTTATTATTTCCTCAGTGTTCTTCACTTGTGGAGACGTCTTCTTTTAATTTAACAAGAGAAATTTTGCCTCGTTCCGGCCAAAAAAAGGGATTAAAAAAACCGAACGCTTGAAACGTCAGCATCGAACGAAGGAACGAAAATTGACCATGTCCATTACCAGAGGTGAGTGTTGAAAGTGATCTCTCAATTCAAAATGAATTATTTGAGAATTTAAGCAGTTGACGAGCCAGATTGGCGAACCCAACACCATTGGTCTTAAATTTTAAGTTTTAGATTAAAAAAATAGTGCGACCACAACCCATCTTAAAGTCAATTTGATGTAATTGTAAATATTTTAACCTTTCTTTACGCTGTTTGATCTCTTCTAACTCCGCTAATTGCAATCGTTGGATAAACAGCACCTTCCAAAAAACCACGACGTGCTCTCCATTTCACAGGGGGGAGAAGGAGGAAGGGAAAATATACCTTGTGCTCCTCGTTACACGAAAAATATGGTTTGATCTCTCCTAATTCTGCAATGATTGCAATCGTTGTTTAAACAGGATCTTGCGAAAAATAAGCCATGCTCTCCGTTCGACAGTGTGCTGAGTAAATATAATTACCGGCTCTCCTCAAATAAAAAAAATATGCAAATACAGTAATTTTTCGAATGTCTCGCAAACTGGGCGACTAATCGATTCTTAAAAATGAAATGCAGTGAATAGGAAAAAAGATATTGAAAGTTGAACGATGGAAATATTTTTCAGGCCGCAGTATCTGCACTTGAGAAAGTGTCTGTTTATTGAACCTGCGTTTACTCAAAGCTGAAAGGGCAAATGTCGGAAATGAAATTTCACATTAATTTAAATACAGCTGATATCGTGCATCGTTGTCACGTTGCTAAGACAGGTTGCCATATGATCAATAAAGCTATGTCAATAGAACCGACTCATTTCCACCACAAAAGTTTAATTTGCACTTAAAACACACTCTGCCTGCCATGGCAAGATAGATCACCGATGCGCTTTTTCTGAGAGACTAGCGTGAACTAGGCCTAATGATGTGCTTTGTGTTTCTTGTTCTCGTGCTCATGTCTAATTTTTGGGCCTAGATACACAATTTTCGTCTCATATCCAGACCCTTCACGGCCAAGTAGTTACATTACATTTCAGCTATAGTTACACGGTGGCACATTTTCAGTTAATTGGCAGTCAGTTTCCCTATAGTCCCCCCCTTTATACGTTGTTGGCGACGAAAAAAAATACCACTAACTCCCCCCCTTCTAAAAAAAAAAGAAAGTCCTTCCCACACAGGCGATAAATTATGCCTGTTCCTTGGGCAGGATGGTGGCGTTGAAGTCATTGACGAACCGTGTGATTGGTAATAACTTTGATGTTATCGCCCTCAGTTATTCTCCAGGGATGCGGAGCAGAGACTGTCATTTTCTTCTTGTCTGTGCTGTCATCAGCTGTTATATGTCCCGCCCTTGGTAGATATTGTAAAGACGCAATCACAGTGCTCATCGCTCTTGGAGCTGCTTGTCTCACCGGCGACGCGATCTTCCACCTCTTGCCGCACGTAAGTAAAACTAACAACTTAAAAGTGTATTTCTAAAAAATGAACACTAGGAACTGTGCTCAATCTCAAAGCGGTTATGGATTTGGGAATAGGACGTGTTAAAAACGAGTTTCCCAAGAGCCGAAACTGAAAAAATCACAAAAGTGGATTAGAAAGATAGCGAGTATAGGGCAGTATCCTGGACAAAATAATGTCAGATTATCTCAATGGCGAAAAGTATTAGCTTTTCATCTGATCAGTTGAGAGGGTTGCACGAATTTTCTTGACCAATCACAGGGTGGAGTGAGGCAAAACACATGCATTTCTTGATTACCTCTGGCACTCAACTTCAGTACTTCAATCTCAAATTCTCTAGGCATTATCTCAACATCACGACGATGACGCTGGTGGTACAGAATCTACTCATAGCGTACTTTTATGGCGTTCCTTCTTGGTTGTGTGCAGTATTTATTCCTTCTACCTATTCCATCTCTTTTTTCAAGTTATGGAGGTAAGGAGAACAAAACTGTGGTTGGCATGGTTGTCTGCTGTGCCTAAGTCACGCACTATGACAGTAACACAATCTCATTTTCTAGGGTGGTCACTCTCACTCTCATACTACGTCGCCTGATCCACTTGAGAACAAGGGCCTGCTAGAGGCAGAAACCAAAGCCAAGCGAGAGCAGTCTGCGGCCAAAATTAATAAAACGCTCATAGGAACGATATTAGTGGGTGAAGTACTACACACATCGTGCGATGGAATAGCTATAGGAGCTGCTTTCTCAAAATCATCAGGGGACGGACTCAGTACGACACTAGCTGTGTTATTTCATGAAATACCGCACGCAGTAGGTAAGGAAATGACCAATTCCATATCAATCTTTTATGCTAAGCGAGTGTAGCCTCACTACATTTACAAGCTCCTACGCATTTGGTGTGGGTATTGCGCCCATGGGTTGAAAACTCTTTTCATTCAAGTGCACGTAGAGAAAATATGCAATGGGCAAATTGTAAACTGGGCCGTGTATAATTATTTTGAGAACAAAAGACGTTGAAAGAATCACAACTTGCATGAAATACAACCCAATCTACACATTGACTTTTTAGCCTCTAAGAATGATCAGCGTGGAATTTCTCCTGACATTATCATCCCTTAATCAAGTATTAAGGTCATGAGAATAAAGGAAATGATCGTGAACTCAGGAAGCCATTGTTAGTTTAACAAATTCTCCTTGTCAGCATCTTAGGAAATTTATATATTACAGTATGGAAAATATACATGGGGTTCCATCTATTAAGTTGTCAGAAGCAGCAGCACTGCAAAATCCTTTTATCGTTTTTCTAATTTCCTCTAGGTGATTTTGCCATCTTTGTCTCGTCTGGTCTGCGTTTCCGCGAGGCCCTGGGTCTGTTATGTTTCTGTTACCTATGCTCATACGCGGGCATACTTGTAGGAGCGACCCTAAGTGCCAGTCTGAATATGACGCCCTGGATATTTGCCGTCATAGCAGGAATGTTTCTTTACGTAGCACTGGCAGAAATGGTGAGTAGTGACCGTATATTCCTTGTTCATGAAATGTAATGTAATTGCTCCCATGATGTAACATGATAACACTCTCAAGCATATGCTTGGACTCCCAAGTCGAGACTCCAATGTTTTAGTGTAAAGAGTCAAATTGAAGAAACAAGAACATGCTTTAATGAAATTTTGTAAGTTATGTGTTTTCGTCTTGTCACGAGCTTGGGACAAAGAATGACTAATTCTGAGTCCTAACGAGGAATCGAACCTCAGACTTTCGGGTTTCGTGCTCCATCGCTCTTCCACTGAACCGAAGAGACTCTACGGTGGGTCAGGCTATCACTAGGTTCATCTTTGACACGCGAGCCGCATACACGTACTGTCAGGATCAGCATCGAAAGCGTCGAGCGTTTCAACAGAGTGAGAAAGATGGAAAATTTTGAGACCGATAAAAAGAAATGGAGAAAGTTAGCATTCCATCCTTTTGTTCTTTAAAGTTACTGTTACCATGACAAATAAAGCTTCATTATTCCCATTTCAGGTTCCAGAGATGTTCGCCAGCATAACATCAAGATCTGATAAAAAATGGCGAGTTATATTTCTACAAAACCTTGGACTTTTGCTCGGATTTGCTATTATGATCACGTTAGCCGTTTTTGAAGAAACGATAAGGACATCGTTGCAGTAGTTAATACTATGGAAATGATTTTTTGTAGTTACCCCTCGGCTTCCTTTTCTCACAGCAAAAGTAAAATGTTGTTGAGGTCAGTCTGAAGAGGGTGATTCCAGCGGAATTTTCTCGTAGCCAATGAGAAATATGCGATAATCAGAAACGAAATGAACATGAAAGCGAACTTCGCAGTAATGAACACTACTTAAGCAGAAGTGAAAATAAGGCCTGACAAAAAAATTCAGGCCTGTGCGGGATTCGAATCCTTGACCTCTGCGATATCGGTGCAATCAGTCTACCAACTGAGCTAACAAGCCAACTGGGAGCTGGTCAGTATGTTATTCATCAGTTATTGAGTTTATTACGAACCAACATACTCTGCTTAAGTACTATTCATTACTGAGAAGATTGCTTTCATATTCATGTCGAACATGAATTTATATCTGGTAATCCTTGAACACAGATCTTGGTATTATCACTGTAAAATTAGGCTTACAAAAGAATTAGAACGAAATAATATTTTTGTCCTTTTTACGAAAGCGAGTGACAGAATTCTCTCTTGTTTACTTAATGTCCATTTATAGCATTTTTATTGCTGTAAAGTCGTTTTTGTCCTCAATCGACTTTCTCTTTTATAAAATTGACAAGCTATGTTACGTTTAAATCACGTGGCTTGGGATAAAACAAGCGAAACAGATTTTCAGTCTTCAAACGTGCCACGTGCAAACCGCTGGATAAAATGCGATCCATTAGGTCCCGGGTGGCTGAATGATCTGCTGTTCCTTTATCCATTCCTATGAAATGGTAGAGGATTGTGAAAAAAGAGAATGAGGGATGAAAAGATCAACTGCTGCAGTTTCGATTTTCTAAGATGAATTCGCCATGTGGTAGAGAAAAAGAGCTAAGGCGCATTTTAATTGTCACAAAATCAAACGACAATGCCCAATAAGAAAGGAATTAATGAGAGCACGGAGTTAAAAAAGGAAATTGCATGACGCATCGAAAAATTCGAATGACCAAGGCACGAGAAGCTTCAGTTTTACACCCGATTGCTGGGAGGAAAGCCCCAGTTTTCTAAAAAATTGGAAAGCGTGTCAAACATAACCAATGAAACTCCGAGTACCCTTAGCACTGTTTTGAAAATTTATCAAAAACAGTATGGAAAAAAAAAAACTTCCTAACCTCCAAGCCGATCCCAGTCGCTCTTGTAAATGCCGATCGTTTGGTAACCCTGGTCATCCCATGATCCATGCGGTTCAGCAGGATACGCCCCACAGTTCAAGCCGAAAAGGACTGGTGCAAATATCATCTTCCCTTCTATGCAGTGCTGTGACCCAAAGGAGCAAATAACATTTAGATCAATTTAACAATAATCAACAGAATGAGCTTCATCATTCTAGAGCTTACCTTTCGACAATTTTCAAAAATATCCGCTGGCAAATCCGTATGAACGTCACTAGTTAGAACAATACTCTGTGAACTCCGCACCAGTCCTACTCCAGAATTAATGGCGCGCATCAAAGAGAACTCCCCGTTCAATTTTTCAACCTTGTACTTCTGCAACGAAGTGGCTTGCAAAGTCCTTTCGACGTCTAAGCCCGATTTTCCAGAGTGAACAATCACCAACTGAAAATCAACCTCTAAGCTCTCTCGCACAATTTGTTCCACTCTTTTAATAAAACGATGCAGCCGTTGACCTTCACGATCAACGGCAATAATCAAATGAACTGAAATTTCCTTCTTCCAGCCCAGATCCCTCGGATAACAAAGTTGCACGTTCTTCTCTTGTGAGTTTTTACCAACTTCGTTCTTTTGTAAATAGACATACTCTGCGACTCTTTCTGTGTAATCTAAAGCATCACAGCTTAATTCTATCTCAAGAAAATAAAGAACAGCGTTGTTCTCTTGTTTTGTTGCCATACGCTCGAGGGTAAGAACTCTCTCGACGAGGTACTTTCTGGAGAATGATTAAAAAAAAATTGCCGAGAAAACTCTAGTTATTGTAATTTTAGTCATTTTTTAAGTTCTTATGTTCCTTTCTCTATCAAAAGAGAATGAGGTCCAGCGGACCCTTTTTTTTCTTGTCCATATTAAGAGCACATATGTATTTTTTCTTACTGATGCCTGATATTAGACTGAAAGACAGGTTGACAGTCCGAGTAGGTTACCGACTGATTGGCTTAATGGATGAAAGAATGACTGACTGTCTGAATAAGAGAATGAATGACTTCCTCACTGAATGAGTGACTTAATTCGGGAATGCATGAATGAATAAGTGGAAGAGCCACCAACCCATCCACTGACCCCCTGAATGACTCACCACTGATTGACTGATTAATTGGCTGACTTACTGACTCACTCACTCACTTGCTCACTGACTCACTGACCATTGATTGACTGATTGACTGACTGACTCACTGACTCACTGACTATTGATTGACTGATTGACTAACTCAGTAATTGACTGACTATTGATTGGGTGAGTTCCAGACTTACTTGCTCACTGACTCACTGACTATTGATTGACTGAGTGACTGACTCGCTGACTATTGATCGACTGACTGACTGACTATTGATTGACTGATTGACTGACTCACTGACTCACTGACTATTGACTGACTGATTGACTGACTCACTAACTCTTTGACCATTGATTGACTCACTGACTCACTGCCTCACTGACTCACTGACTCACCGACTCACTGACTCACTCTCACTGACTATTGACTGACTCACTCGTTCACTCACTCACTCGTCGATTATTGACTGACTGACTGACTCATTGACTCACTGACTGAATCACCGACTTACTGTCTCAATGATTCTTGACTGACTGACTCACTGACTGACTCGCTGACTCACTGCCTATTAATTGACTGACTGGCTTATTGACTGGCCCGCCGACTGACCAACTGACTTATTGACTGAGGTACTGTTACGAAATTAAATTATCGTTTGAGGGTTTGCAAGATACAGACTTACTTTGGGAATACTTTTTCGAGTCCTGCCATAAAAAGATTTACCACCAACTTTGCTTCCACGTTATCCTGCCATTTCCGGTCATTATTAGTTACTCTGATTATTTCTTGAATAGCTTTGTATCCATGGAAACGGGGTATATTCGGCATAGTCGCGGTTGGAAGCGTATAGCTGCACGTGGGAAGCGTGCGTTCCACAGTACTGTCCGTGAGGAACGAGACGAGATAAGGCTTTGTAACTTTTAATTGGCTATCCGATGAAGCCTTCGAAAACTCAATTTGAGATACGAGGCGCAATTCTGCAGAATGCGAGATGTACTCCGATGTTATGACCTCCAAATAATGTTTCCCAGGTCGAATCCAGTGCAATTCCACAAAATCAGCGTCGGTGCCTTGAAGATGAATAATCTCCAGGGGGTATTTATTTCCCCTTTCGAGCAGAAAATCATCGGAAATCTGTGAATCGAAGCGAATTTCGCCGACAGGAGCGCTTCCTACGTGGTCACGCATGGCCACGCTCGCGGCAAGTTTCAAACTCGCCAAGCTTTCATTTGCACCAAACCAGAATTCTGATCCATCATCGGAATATAGGACAAACTTGTAATAACCGGTCTCTGGTGGATGTAAATAACCGAATGCACGCTGGCCATAGTTGCTTCGATTTAACTGAATCCTCGTGTTTGAAATGAAGTATAACTCGTCGAAAAACCGTGGAAAGAAAGGAGAGTTAAGCAAATTTGACAATTTTCCGCCACAAACGTTTGACCAAACTTGAACTGCTATTTTTCCCATAATTTTCTTATTGTCATCTTGTGGTGCCGAAGATTTTGTTGAAACCTCTTTCTGCCATAGGTTCTGTAATCTTTTCAACTCGCCTATCTCGTGCTTCTTTGTGACATGGTTGTAAATCAACACTAAAGCCAGAACGGAGAGAACGCTGCCGATATGATCCAGAAGTCGGAGCACATTTCTCATACTTGAAGATCTCATTGTTTCAAAAATCACGAAATATTCGACAAGTGTTTTCCGTGAGATTTTACACTATGTGAAAGATCGTGAGAATAAACGCTCCAACTTTTTGATCTTCCCAAATACGGTGATTATTCCTTTGTTACAAGGGTGACCCTTGGCAAGTCAAAATCACTTGCAATTGAACGTGGAATCGGAAATGGTTCTTTCGTCGACCAATGATGGTTGTGTTGTTTTGCAAGCCTTTGAAATTTTGCATAAGCTGTTGTCAGTCATTTCCAAAGAAACGGGAACTTTTTAGCAGGAATGCGTAACCGCGTGGTTCAAATGTTTACTTTTGGAAAATTAAAAGATAGAAGCATACTCAAAATATATATCTAGACTATTAAATAGATTAAAATGTTATTAATGAAAAGAAGTTCCTGTAGAATAAGATGTTAAATGTAATTTATAAGCCGCTTAAAGTAGTCTGATGCCTTTGATCCATGATGTTTCGAGAGCCATTCATATTCTGCTATGAAGAAGTGGAACTTTATTTGTGTTTTTTTTTTTTTCAAAATTTTATTCAAAATTTAAAATGCAATGATGATGAAGCACTTGGCGACCAAAAGTATATATCTCTAATGAAATGAAAACTTCTATCGCGTAGCCCTGTTAGCTCAGTGGCAGAGCACTGGTCTCGTAAACCAGGGGTCGGGAGTTCGATCCTCCTACAGGGCTGCTTTTATACTAGAATTATTTTATATAAAGCTCTTTTGATTTAGCTACCTAATCTTCAAGACCATTTTCTGTCCCATTTTCTGTCTCCTGTGAAAGAAGACTACTACTATCTTCTACATGGCTGTGAAAAATGTCTTTATAAAATAGAAAGTTGAAATAATGTACTCTTAGTCCTTTAAATTGATGTATTGAATGAAAACCAACCATTTACACATCAACCTTTAAATTGTAATGTTATGATTAGTGTTGTGACTGAGGATGGTGTTCTTTTTCTTTTTTTTTTTACAAAATTTTCATATCGATTAACGTCTAACTATGCGTTTTCAAAGGCAACACAACAAATCAAAATATTGCGCATTTTAAACAGTTAATTACATTCACCATCATTGTTTTTCTTCAACGGGACCAAACTCTACTTTTTTAAACAATTTCAGGCCATTAATTAGCATTATTATACTTAAGTATGATGTAAGGCTTTTAAAAAATTCCCTTTTTTAAACTTTTTAGGTCATTAACTCACACTGACTCAAAAATAGGTCACAAGTCCACTTTATTCCACCTCACATCAAACATACTCACAAACATATAAAATTCTCTTGACACAAAATCTTCCAGAAAACCCCCTTCTCTCCATCCCCCAATATAAAATTCCCTGGGACATGAACCCATCCGTTTATATCCTACTTAAAAGCCCCGATAGAACTTAGTGTTAAGAGAAGTGTTTTAGTTTTTTTTGTCTTGTTTTATTCCGTTGTTTTGTTTTTTTTGGCTGTTAAGGTACAGTTTTGATCAGTTTTTACCAAGAGTATTGTTTGAGCAACCAATGATTTATTTTTGCAATTTTTCTCGACATATTTCCTCCTACCCCTCAA